TCAGTGACCTTCCAATCATTAAAGTACTTTTGTATTAATTTGTGAATTTGTGAAAAGCCAACCATGAATTTTTTTAGAATATACAGGGTGAAATTAAAAAACTGCAACCAACTTCAGACAGCTGTCGTTTCTAAGCCACTCATCCGACAGCTGTTAAAATTTTTCCAGTGACAGCTTATTATATTGTTTACAAGCTTACAAAAGAATGTTGTGGAGAATTTTCCAGAAAAAAAGTTATTCGTAATGGAATTCAAGCGTGATAGTGTGACTTCTTCATATTTGGCTGGAAAACCACAAGTGACTATCGTTAGGGCATTCCTGCATTTAAATGTGAATAAATCTTTTGTGTCTCGTACCATCGCTCGTTACCGTGATACTGGTAGCGTAGCCCGACGTCAAGGAAGTGGACGGAAGAAAACAGTAACATCGGCAGAAATGGTTCGAAAAGTAAAGAAGCGACTTGATCGAAACCCGCGTCGCAGTGACCGAAAAATGGCTCGTAAGTTGAACCTATCGCAATATTCAATTCGGCAAATATTGAAAAATAAGCTCGGGGTAAAGCCATTGAAATTCCAAAAAGTGCAAGAACTTACACCGCAACAGAAAGAAAATAGACTCAAAAGAGCTAAAGAGTTGCTTCGCCTGGCCGATAGTGGTGAACTGACAAATTTGGTTTTCTCCGCTCCGATGATAAAACATTCGTTGTCCAGCTGTTTGTAAACAAACAAAATGATCGTGTTTACTTGCCAAAGAGGTCAGCTGAGAATGTGCACCTTCAGTAGGCCACCAGAACTCAAGCGCTGGCGATGGTGATGGTGTGGGCCATAACAGCCGATGGTCGCCCTCCGCTCGTATTTTTCGGCCGTGGCATCAGAATAAATGGCGAATATTATCGCGAAAATATTCTGGAGGATGTGTTAAAGCCTTGGGCACGCAAACCTTTTGGCCACAGACCTTAGACATTCCAACAGGACACAGCACCATCGCACTCAGCACGCGCCACCCAAGAATGGTTATAAAATGAGGATCCTTGCTCCATTTCCAGCGCACAATAGGCACCGAAATCTCCGGATACGGAAAAGTACTATTTCGTACAAATATAGTACACACTTCCGAAACCACCTCCATATGTCCAGGCTGCACGTGAACAGCGTCCCTAATACCAAATTTCCGATTTCAAGCACTATCTGTTTGCCCAATATCAAATTGTACCAAATATGGAGCTATTTAGTATATTTAGTGAACTTGTAGTACGCCTTTACAAAACCACCTCTTTATCAGAAATCTACAACCAACAGGCATCCCAACAAAAAATGTAGGCTTCATCCGTTCACCCTCATTGTGGTTCCAAATTTAGTACCATTTTGTTCGCACTTTTAGTACACATTTTCAAAACCGCCTTCATATATCGAACATATTTTCCAACCTTGATTCTCATGCCAAATTTCATTTTTTACGCATTGTCCCATTTTAGAAATTTAGTACCATTTCAGAACTTTTTGTATCCTTCGAATTTCCAAAACAATGTCATACAATTTCCAAAAAACTCTTCGTACATCCTGTAATCTACCAGCGATCCCTCATTCCAAAATTCGAATTCTATCTTATTTCTTTTGTCCGATACAAAGAATAACATTTTTAGCAGGTATTTCCAAAAACTCAACCTTTGTACCAGGACTGGCCCTCTTGTAAAATTTCAAGATTCTAGCCTGAGCCGTTTCGTCAGGGCTTTGATTCTCAGTCAGTCAGTTATTTCACTGCATTTATACAGAGCAGAATTTTTTTAAAAGCACCTCCCTTTCTCTCTTTTGAAAAAAATTTCAATGCCCTACCATTCCGAGATTTTTGCAAAAGAAATTTTTTATAATGACCTGTCTTTAGAGGTATTTTTTAATATATTTAAAAAAATATGTATTCAATAGCCTGCCGATGGTGGATTTTTTTTAAATTTTCTTATAAACTGCCAAATGTAGATATTTTCCCTCATTTATATATTTTAAATTAAAACCAATAATTTTTCTTTATTTTTAAAAATTAGATTTAAAATTTTATTTTGGTATTATTATAATTTAATAGCACATTCTTAGTTTGTTATACAAGAACTAAGATAAATTAATTACTAAAAAATAAATAATATGTACATTAAAAGAAATTTTAAAAAAATAATAAATTATTTGGTATGATAACAAAAATAATAAATATTGGATATTTAGAACAAAAGAAAATTTTATACAAAAATGTAAGGTGAAAAATAATATTACAAGGTCTCTAATCTTAAAAAAATACAAAAATAAATATTTTATCTAAATTTAAGGGGGAAATTAGAAATTATTTATTTTTATGTTGTATTTATTATAGGGAATAATAAATAACATCATCGATTATTTATGTACATAAATTTACTATAAACATTTAACAATAACTATACATTAAAAAAACATCTAATTATGTTCGTTTGTTTACTAATATTTTACACAGTGTCACAAGAATGTTTAGGAGATCATTAAAAAATTTTAAATCAAACTTAAAATTTTTTAATTAAACTCAATAAAATTAGAATAATTAATACAAAAAAAGATTATAATGGATTTAAGAGAAATTAACTAATCTATATGTACACACTCTCAATTATACATAACTAATAAAAAATAAAGTAAAATGGTTTTATTTGCTGCTGTATTTTCGGTTGTCTTAAACTGTTGTGCTAAGAAAGAGAATTACAAGTAATTAATATAGCCCATTTGTTTAAAATATTAGTGGCCCAGTAATAGGATATGGACAAGGTATTGGCATTGTTTTGGGATTAAACCAATTCGATCTGAAACGAAAATGTTCTCAAGCTGATTATGAGTTACTATTTATTGTATTTAATTGATTTAATATAAAAACAAACAAAAAACTAATAAAAAATAATAACAGAGTAGTTGGAATGATATTCGTTCGTTTTCGACTAAAAATTTGTCGAATTTGTGTAACTGTTATACTTAGTATAACAGTTGTATAACAGTTATAAATTCTTCGATTAATTGTGTTATTTTGGCAGAATTAAAATTCATTGAATATGGTTTGAGGAAATAAATCTGATTTACTAACTGTTATACGACGTGGCGTAACATTAAGTTAAATGTGTTATATGAGTCAGAAAGAGTTTATTGAAGAAATGGATGTACCCAATTGCATTTCTATTTTCTCATAAAGTTTGTCACTGCATATAACACATTTAAAAGTGTTATAATTCGAATGTAAAGTCATGTTAAATATAATTATACTAAGTATAATTGACTATCATAAAATTCTGTATTTTGTTTAAATGAATTAAACGAAATAGAATTCCGATTTCCTTTTCTGTTTATAATGTAGTAATCGAGTTTGTTATGTAAAATTTAGAATCCAAATATTTATTTTCAAGTTGATAGATTCGAAATTTAAGCTGTAATTTATTTATCTAAACCATAAAATTGCTTTTGGAAAACTGTTATAACTTAAACTTCAATCATTTTTTGGAATTTATATTAATTTCAAATATCTATAGTTTATTGAAACTGTTATGCTAAACATACAGTGTCGTTGTTATTAATCTTTAAGTTTTGATTTCAAATTAATTCATTAAGAAAACGAATTTTAATCACATTTTTGTGAAAAAAATGAAAACTGTTATACTTTATATAACTGTTTCAGAAATATGTTATGTTTTTTTTTTCATTCAGCAGAGGTCATTTTTATTTCAGATTAAAATATTTATTTTTACATTTTTATAACAGTTCATTGATTTGGGAATATTTCACTTCTTTACTCAAACTGTTTTATTATTTGTTGGGTTTTCAAACTATGTTAATTACGGCTGATATAAATAAAATCGGATATTATGTGTTTCATGGGATCACAACCTGTTTTATAACAGTTCATTTTTAAATAATTTCGATTATTCTCGTAACGATACTCTGTTATACAGCATTAATAAGCGAACGCGAACACACTTTTCCAAGTTTTTTTCATAAAAACTGAATGCAGACTTCAATTTTCACTACAAAACTGTAATAACGAGTCCTTTGATTTTCAAAAACTGTCCGAAAATGACGTGTTTTGTATGTTCGCATAATATATATCAACCGTTTTAAATTTAATTTAATTTGTTTATTGAATTAAAAACTGTTATACAACATTAAAAATTCAGTTCGATTCGATTTAGTTTTCAAAACTGTTATACTTGCTTTTAGATGTTTAAAATGTTTTAATTATTTTTTTTAATATTCGAATAAATATATACGAAAAATTTGTCGTTATGTTCACAAAACGTTTTATAACAGTTTTTTTTTCAAATACATGTGCATTTAACTGTTATTCAATATTGAACATTAAATACGAAACACTTTTCATTAATTTAAAGCTTTTTTAATTAATTGAAATTTTCTTTTATATCCACTTAAAACTGTTATACAGGATTTTGTAATAATGTTAAACTGTTATAATCAAGACATTTGTTGCTCTTTCTGCATAAACATTTCAATATCCGATTTTATTTTTCACTTTAAACTGTTATACTTTTAATTTGAAATCTGTCATAATGTTAAACTGTTATAAGTTTTCGAAATTATTTTTTCAATTTAACTCAAAACGTTTCTTGCTATTTGTGCATAAACATTTCAATATCCGATTTTATTTTTTACTTTAAACTGTTATACTTCTAGTATTAAATCTGTTATAAATTATTTAAGTTTCATGTAATTTATTTGTTTCTTTAGTTATTTATATTTATTGTTTTGTTTATCTTCTCTCAAACTGCAATATTTTATAAAGAACACAGTTTATCCAGGGGTTACTGATTTCATGAACTGTTATATTTAAGGACTTTTCTTTTTACAACATTTTCTTAAAGCATTTTTTTTTTTTTTTTGATCTGCACATTATTTTTTACGGTTATTATTGGTAAAATTTAAAAACAAATATTTTTAAATATTAGTTTTGAAAATATTTTTTTATTTATTTTTTTTAGAACTGTCCTTACTGGTCCTTTAAATTTTAAACTGTTCGAAAAATTGCTATATCTCATAACACGATCTTTTTTTGAATCGTGTTCGATTATTTATAATACAATATTGTTATAATTTCCCGATTATAACAGTTTTAGTTCAAATAAAACTGTCATATTCTCTTAAATTGCACTTCAATTATGAGTACCACTTAAAACCACAGCAAATAAAACCATTTTCATGATTCGGTTCATTTCACAAAGTCACATAAATTTTCAATTATGATTTTCCTTTTGGTTTTTTTCCACCCGTCCACGGAGCGGATTTTTATCATTTTTTGAGATTGATTCCTTTCACACACACTTGTCTGTTTGTTTGGTTGTCTTTCTCACTCTCTTACACTTACACCATATTCCATATACTATACGAACGCCTTCGAGCCCTTTCCGCCCGTTCCTCGTCCTCGGCCAATTGTTCATAGTCGATTTCCAAATATTCCTTGCCACCAAACTGGACCTTGCGACCGGTGTACTTTTTCAAATAGTTAATGTGCGACGAGACCTCAATGCCATCGATATCAATCAAATAGGATATGCTGGTGATTTTCTCCTTAACGCGTCCACGTCGCCAGCGTATTTGTGTGTTGCGGCGATAACGCTCTCCATACAGGACATCATCGCCAATGTTATATTCTTTCTTGTTAATGCACGATTTGAGGGGTTTCTTTTCCTCTTCGACCTTCTGGGCCTCTTCGGGCTCTGCTTCGTCCTCCTCATCATCGGTGACATAGGCAATGGGTTTTTCAAGGGTTTCTACTTCGGTATTAGTTGGCTCCTCATTGGAGACATTGTGGCCAAAGAAGGATGAATCGCTAATGGAAAGTTTGCGTTTTTGACGTTTTATGATAACCTTGTTCTTAACTTTACGAACTTTTTTCGGTTTGGCAGCACCTGCCCCCGAATCGGATTCCGAAACTTCTGTAGTCGAACCGGAACATTCTTCACTGGCACTGGTTACATCCTCGCCCGCCTGAGGACTGGTAATTTCAGTCTCAGATTTTTCGTCTGTTACGGAATCTACGGCAGGAACTGGAACAGGAACATCAACAGTGGTTGTGGGTTGGGTCTCCGTTATAGCAGCTTCACTGGCCTCTGCTTTTTTGGCCTTATCTATGGATGTCTGTCTTATGATTTTCTTAATAATAATTTTCTTTTTTAATTTTTCACCCGGTTCATGGGGTATTTCGGCAGTTTGAACCGGTGCCGGAGCTTGATTTAATTCTGGCATGTTTGTTTTAGAATTATCTACTGTCGCTTCTGTTTGATGATCGCCTTCCGAAAGTTGGTTGGTGGGGATTTGTGTTGCTGCAGCTGCTGCTTTCGGTGTGTCTTCTGTGGCGTCTTGTGTACGACTAATGGAAATTTGTGGAGAGCTGTTGATTTTTGTAGCAGCCTCCTCTGCACTAATTGGCGGCGTTGAGATAGCTTGTGTTGGTGGTGGTGGTGGTTCGGTTGTAACCGTTGACGTTGTCTGATCACCAGTAGTGGTAGTTGTTGATGATATTGATGGCAAACTTTGCTCTGGGGAGGTCGTTGTTGTTGCTTTTGCAATATCTACAGCATGAGAAGGTTCTACGCCTGTTGTTTTTGACACCAGTTGCTCTTCCAATTTTTCACTGGATGTCTCCAATTTTTTGGCCACTCCTTCAGTGCCTTGGTGCTTGGTCGCCTGCAGATTTGTCGTAGCTTTGACTATCACCGCTGACTCCTGCAGCAGATCATGCAAATCTGATCGCTGATCGTTTGCCTCACTGTTCCGATTTGAATTTTCGAGCAATGTAGCTCCGCCAGCATTGGCTAACATGCTGCTGTTGTTGTTGGCAACAGCATTATTCTCGAATTTGTTAGCCAATTCGAAATTCTTTGTAGTTGTAGTCGTTGTCTGTTGTAACCGTGCATTTGTCGCTTCGTTGGAGATACTTGAGTCCGCTATTGTTCGACTATTGCTGGGGATCGATGGTTTTTCGTCAATGGCTATCTGCTCATCGATCACTAATTGCGTTGATAAGATTTGATTCGCTGCTGGTGGCATTTCATCATTTGGCAATGTTACATCCTTGTTTTTCTTCTGATCAGCCTCAATGTGAAACGATTTATTGGATGTCACCGATACATTGTCAATCTTAGCGGTCTTATCACCCACCGATAATGGCGACGCTGATGAAGATGATGATGCTGTTGGGGTACCTGCTGCCAAATTAAGCGTTTCATTTGCTTGCGTTTGATTGTTGTCATCGTTCGATTTCTTAATTGCGGAACGTTTAACTTTAACAATTTTCGGTTTGGGCGTCACTTCCGCCACATTACCGGAAGTGTTTAGTTTACTGGTGATTAATTTCTTCTTGACAATAGCTTCTGAATCAGATGGACGCCTCTGTATGGCAGCTGGTGTTGCCAATTTTACGGCGGGTTCTATTTTTGAACCTTCTACAGCGGCCAAAGATGCTCGACGTGAAGTCGACGTGGGGGTTTTGGTTCTTGCAGGAAGTTTCTTTTTCTTTTTAAGGGATTGGTCATCGAAGGTGTCGGTTTGTTCATTTGATTTTTCTTGCTCTTTTGAAAGAGCAGTGTCGCTTTCTTTGAGGTTTCCAGGTGCCTTGTTGGTAATTTCAAGTTGTTCTGTTGTCTTGGAGGCTTCTAACATGTTGGACGCCACAATATTATCGGCCGATTTTAGAGACAGATCATTTGTCTTTTGAACTGCCAAAGTGGAACTTGTAACCAAAGTTGAGGCATTGCCATTAGGAGCGACAGACAATGGCTTTGTGGCCACTCCAGTTGCAACAACTGAAGGTGTCCCATTTGTCGAATCGGAAACAAGTTCCTTGGATTCCCTTACAATCTCATCTTCTGTAGGTACAGAGGTTTTGTCCTCTTCACTTTGTTTTTGGAGATTTTTGGGATCACTCAGAGAATTAACGTTTGATTCGGTATTATTAACGTTGGGCGCCATTGTTTCCTGTGATGATTTCCCACCATCTACAATTTTTGAAACGTTTTCGTCTGACTTATTTTCAGCTTTTTTTGAATTATCACTAACAAAAGTAGTCTTTGAAGATGATATACCATTTACGTTGGGCGCCATTGTTCCTTTTGATGATTTCCCACCATCCACAATTTTTAAAGGGCTTTCGCCCAAATTATTTTCAACTTTTTTTGAGTTGTCCCTAACAACAGATGTCGAAGAAGACTCATTTGTATCCTTTACGTTGGGCGCCATTGTTCCTTGCACTGTATCCACAATTTTTGAAGCACTTTCGCCTGACTTATTTTCAGATTGTTTGGATTTATCACTAATTTCCAATTTCGGTGATATTTCGTCGAGTTCTGAAGCATTCTCAGCTACTTTATTTTCCATTTGTTTCGAATTATCATTTAAAATTTTGGAATTCCGACGAACTTTTTCATTTGTTTTGTTTTTCTTTTCACTTGTTTTATTTTGTTTTGTTGTATTATCCGTAGACAATTCATCGGCTTTTTGTTTTGCTTTGGATTTTGGTGAGATTTTTGTTTCATTTTTGGGTTTTTTGTTTTGATTTTTCTTGGGGTGTTTTTCATTTTTCTCTTCGGCTTCAGTTTTCACTTCGGACTCGGGTTTAAGTTGCACTGACACACTTTCCTTATTGTTTGCGTTATTTGAATTTTCATTTTCAACTTTATTTAATTTTTCATTTTCAACTCTTAGAACATCCTTAGTCGAGCTGGGAGGGCTTGGCTCCAAAATTATTGAATTTTCATTTTTATTTATACCAGACTCAGACTCTTTAAGAGAGGTATCAGACTCTTTTTCCTTATTCTGAGGAGTCACAGTTTGATCTAAAATTGATTCCTGTCCCTTAGTGCATTCTTCTACAGCTCCTTTATTCAAATCGCTTCCAGGAGTTTTGTCCAGAACTTCATTTCTTGCTGTTGCATTTTCTGTTTCCTTGGATGAAATTTGCTCATCCCTTGGTGCCACCACTCCTCTATCAACTTCATCGGCACTCTTCTCATTCAAATTTGTCTTTTCAATTTTATCCACTTCATCTTTGCCCTCGACTTTATTCTCTCCCTCATCTTCATCTTCGGGGAAAATGCTACGTTTTCGTATTCTCTTTACAAATCTAAAATTGACGGGTTCAGCTTTAGCTTCCTCTGAAGATTCTGCAATTGGTTCAGTTACTTTGTTGGTTCTAGACACCAAGGAAGATGATCCCCTAGTTGGTGCTGGTTCTTCATTTTCTTCGGTACTGTATTGCTTCAGAACACCTTTGACTTCACTTAGTGACGCCGTTATGCGTGCCTTTAAGCGATTCAAACGTTCAATGGGATCTTCATCATCCTGTGAGTCTTGGGAACGTAAACGTCTCTGTTTACGCAACCGTGAACGATCTCCCGTTGTGGCATCCAATGAAAGACCTTGTGTCTGTGTTAAGGAAGGCACTGCGGCATCCAGGGTTGTCGAGGTGGTTCTTAATGACCCTAAAGAGGGAGTTAAATTTCTTTGGCTGGTATTTGAAATCGGCTGGGAATCGGGAATAAGGCGTTGCGAAATATCACTGCCATATCTTGAGTTGCTTAGAGAGCTGTCATTGCCATAACGTGAAGTAACATCATTGCCATGTCTTAGGGAGGTTGGTGTGATGTCATTTCCATATCTGCTGGGTAAGGAGCTCGGTTCATGGCCAGTTCTTGAGCTAAGATCATATTTTGATCCTGATAATGAGCTATCGTGGCCATAACGACTGGGTACTAAAGTTATATCATTGCCATATTTCAGTGAAGTTAAGGAGCTATTATCATTGCCATATCTGGAGCTATTATCATTGCCATATTTATTGGCCAATGAGGTGGTGGAGTCATATCTGGAGTTGCCGTATTTATTTGCTATTAAAGAAGTGGGAGTAGTGCGTCCCGAATAAGATTCAAGGGAAGGCTTGCTTGTGGAAGTACGATTTATTTCGTTGGTGTGTGATCTCGATGTGGGTGTGGACCTGCCAGATGCATTGCTATCTGTTGAAAGCCGTCGGGATGATGCAGCCGCAGCTGGAAGATGATTGTAATCACTTGTTGGTTTTGCTACTGCGCCCGATAGCGTTCTATTACGACCGTTCGCTTCATGTTTCCCAATGGAACGCGTGGCCGGAATCGAGGCCGCCGTATCGCTGGCACTTTTATGACTTTTCATGTCGTATTTCATTTCATCGAATTCCCGAGAATTCCGATGTACATTTGTTTGTAATTTTTGTTCTTCTTCTACTTCTTTTTCTTTTGCTAAACTAATTTCACTTTCTTTGAGCGTTTGCCGTATTCCGCCTATTTGATATTCATTAATTTCCGGATGAACGCCGTGGCATACTTTGCCATATTTCAATTCATCATCGAATTCAAGCACATCTGATTTTGGCAATAATATTTCACTACAATATGGAGTATTGTCGGGACGTGACGTAAGACCGCTTGGCACGCTACCGTTAAGGCTAGACGCTACGTTTGTGGCAGAAACGTTGAGCGGTGACGTTAGCGTTGGTGTTGTTGGAGAGTAGACTAATTGATTTTCACCAAGACCCGTTCCACTGTTATTATATATTTCACCGCCGTATCTTTCAACCGTTATGGTCAACGTATCGCGTACATCTGAGCATTCCACAATTTGGGCAACCTGCGGATTGCAGAGATCATCAAGATCACGTTCACGGTGGTTTCGTGCTCTAATTCTCTCGGTATTTCGAACACTTGTTGTTGTTGTTCTTGCTGGGGGTGTTGAGGCGCGTAATATGTTGGCTACTTCCTCATCAATATCGTCGCCATCATACTCATCATCGGCATCTTCCTCTAGCCCGGCGGCGGCGGTGGCGACAGCGGCATTAAATGTCGGCCGATGATTAACCAAAGAATTTCTAATATTCGCCAAGAGCAAATCATTCTCATTTTGTATATTAATAATAGCATCTGCTTCCATTTTCATTTGTGAGCTATTTTCAAAATTCTCCTTGCTCTCCTTAATGGTTACTGGGCTAATGGATGTGGTTCTGGGAGTATTCGCTCTCTTTGGCCTAAACGACGAAGCATGTTTTTCATTTTGGCAAATAAATATTTTGTCCAATTGTTTTTGTTGTGGTTCTGATGGATTTTTTTGCGTCATGGACCTCGTACCGTCGTTGTTTATCATAAACTTTGTGGTGTTTACATTTGTTCTGGTGTCGGTATTTAAAGAATTTATGGAAATTTTTTGTTTATTCCAATCATGGAAATGAATAAATCGCCCATGGTCGTTTGCCGTCATTGTTGAGCTGATCTCCGCCAGTTGAGGGAATTTCCTATAGAATTTGCGAATCAAACGTTCTTTGAAGGGGAATTTGGTGCTGGGATTCTCTTGTTTTGGAAGCTCTTCTTTCGGGTTACTTTGCAGGGATTTTAAAATTTTGTTTGATTCATAGAGCGCTTGAATTTCATGGGGTTTTAAATTTAACAAAATCTCCTGTTTGGTTCCCCTAGAGGGGAATATATACTTCCCCATTGTTGTAACGAGGGGAAATGGTTTCGCCATTTTAGGATCAGTATTTTCATTTTCGGTTTCCAAAATCAATTGCAATTCTAATGGGAATTTTCTGTGATAGACTCTTCTTCCAAGCCTTGTCAAAGGGAATTTCTTTTCTTTGATTATGTTTGAGGTTAGGTTGAATAAATTATTTAAAGAGAACGTAGATGTTTTAGATGGTGCTGGACTTTCTTGATAATCCTTCACATCAATGACGGATGTCATAGTCTCTGTTTCATTAAAATTTATTTGAGATTTTTCATTAATTTTCTTATTTAAGGTTAGGTTGAATAAATTATTTCCAGCATCTTGCAATGAGGATATGATTTTATTTTTATTAAAATATTGCAAAGTTTTGTTGAAATTTTCCTTAAAATAATAATATAAATAATAATATGGAAACTCCAAAGGATTTTGAAATTTCTTACAAGGAAATTGTTCTTCTTCCTTGAGGGGAATTTCAAGAATCTTAAGCTCCTCAATACTTTCCCCGGGAAATGTGTTTGTAACATTCTTTGTTGCAGATTTAAGCAAAGGAAATTTTGTTATTTTTAATTTGGGCGAGTCCTTTGGCATTTTGTGAAAGGATTTCAAAATTTCGGGAAGGTCCATGAGATCTTTCAACAATAATTCCTTCTTCATGCAATCGTGGGTTACAGAATTCTCTTGTACTTTTAAGGACAATGGAAATTTCAGTACATTAGGTTTTTGAGTTATGGGGAAATTACATTGTATATAACTTATGTTCGGTTTACTCTTGGATTTTTGAGTTAATCTCCGGTATGCATAATAGTTTTCCCCTATTTTGGGTAATTTTTCAAATTCCCCTTGATTTAATGGGAATCTTTTTCGACGTTGATTCATAAATAACTTTAAAGGAAAATGTGTCCTCTTCTCCTTAATCTCTTCATTTTCCTTTATTCTCAATACATCCATATGCTTTGCCTTCCATTTTCTGCCACCTTCCTTTAGGCACCACAATTTATTAAAATCATTAAAATCTTTCTTCTCAATGCCATGATCTCTTAAGGGAAATGTCAAACAACATTTCTCATTATGTTGATATCTCTGACAGGGAAATATTAATGCTGACGTTGTAGATATGCCAAATTGTTTTTGTCCACCAGGTGAGTCATCGATTGATTTCGATAATGCGATCGAATGTGGCGTTGCCGGCATTAAATTAACGTCACATTCAGCTGATGTCATAACGATGTCAATGTTGTCAATGACGTTTTCGCTCAAACATGTGGCAATTGGCATTTTTCCTTTTGCCAATGAAAGAGAATTTTTGGAGTTCTCTATGGGGGATTTTGGAGATTCAGGCACAGGGGTTTGGGAAGGGATTTCCTTTTTCAGTGATTGACCTATTTTTACAATTCAATTTTAAAATATTGATAAAGAAATTTTACAAAAATTTCTCTTGTTCCCAACTCTCTGATTTTCAAAGTGGCTCTCTCACTCTCACAATTAACTGTTAGCAGTATTTTATTTTTTCTATTAATAACAAAATGCTCTCTCTTTTTTTTCTTGTCGCGGCCCGTTTAAAATGTCTTAATAAGTATATTGCAAAAATATTTTCGTTTTTTTTTTCTTAGCTTGTTTCGTATTCACTATTTCAATTTGTTGTCTTCACATAATATTTGAATAACAATATTTAAATATTTTGAAAATATTTATTGTCGTCGGTTGTTTTTTTTTTTGTCGTTCATTTCCTTCGTTTATTGTTCCCGTATTCACTTATCCATCATCACAAAGGGAATTGGGTGCACATCACCGTCGTCAACATTAAAATTTTGTATTTCGTAGTTGGTCTCGCGTATTTCAATCATATCGTCCGCATAAAAAAATTACCACTGAATAGTTGCCGTTATTTATGTGAACAATTGCATTTCATTCCTTTCCTATTCTGCTTTAGGTAACTGAAATTCCTTTTGGTGTTGCTTTCCTCTTTGGCGAGATTTTATTTTTGATTTTTTTTTCGAATGCATTACCAATATAATTTAATTGCAAACAAATTTTCTTTATAGTTGTGTAAGTATATGTGTGTGTATGTTACATTATTGGCTGGGTGTAATACTGCGGTGTAATGGTTGATAGTGACAAAAATGCGATTGGTGGTATGAAAAGGATGGGAATAGATCGAAACTTGTTTTGTGAACTGCAAGAGATGTTTGTTTGAAGCGTATTGTTTTGGGTAGCCACAGGTAGTCGTAGAATATATTAAATATTGGAAATAAATGTGACTACTAAAAATAGAATTCTGAAATTTTGAATATCAAGTATGCATACTGCATAATAGATTTTCGAATTTTAAGGTTATAAAAATTTCTAAAATGGTACAAATCTCCTAAAAATGGTACAAATCTCCTAAATTGGACATACAAGGTGAGATGAAAAAAACTGCAACCAACTTCAGACTGCTCTTATTTCTAAGCCACTCGTCCGACAGCTGTTAAAATTACTGGTACAGTAGCCCCACGTCAAGGAAGTGGACGGCAGAAAATACAGCAACATCAGCAGAAATGATTCGAAAAGTAAAGAAGCGACTTGATCAAAACCCGCGCAGCAGTGGCCGAAAAATGGCTCGTGAGCTGAACATATCGCAATATTCCATTCGGAAAATATTGAAAAATGAGCTCGAGGTAAAGCCATTGAAATTCCAAAAAGTGCAAGAACTTACACCGGAACAGGAAGAAAATAGACTCAAAAGAGCTAAAGAGTTGCTTCGCTTAGACGGAAGTGGTAAACTGTCGAATTTGGTTTTCTCCGTCTCCGATGAGAAAACATTTGTAGTACAGCAGTTTGTAAACAAACAAAATGATCGTGTTTACTTGCCAAAGAGATCAGCTGTAAATGTGCACCTTCGGTTGGCCACCAGAACTCAAGGGCCGCCATAACAGCCGATGGTCGCTCTCCGCTCGTATAAGTCGACCGTGGCATCAGAATAAATGCCGAAAATTATCGTGAAAATATTCTGGAGGGTATTTTAAAGACTTGGGCACGCAAACATTTTGGCCGCAGACTTGGACATTCCAACAGGACTCAGCACCATCGCACTCAGCACACGCCACCCAAGAATGGTTACAAAATGAGGTTCCTCGCTTCATTTCCAGCGCACAATGGCCACCAAAATCTCAGGACACAAATCCGTTGGGCTATTGTGTCTAGAGTATTTTGGAAAGCAAGGTTGGCACTAAAAAATTCCAAAGTGTTGATCACCTCAAGCAAGCGCTTCGCCGGGAATGGGCAAAAATACCGCATAGCAACATTCGGGCAGCGTGTGACGGTTTCATTGGCCTTTTGAAGGCCATAATTCGTGCCAAAGGTGACCTGAAATCCTGAAATTTGGTATAGATGTCAATTTTGGTGTCTATATTTGTTCGAAAAGTACTAAGTGGTACTAGATTGGGTATTAGGAGAAGGATAGAGCCCAAATCTGATATTGAGGTCTCCGTTGGTAGCTGAGATTAAGATTTTGTGGTGGGTTTGGAAATCCGTTCTTCAGTTAGAAGAGATAGAACTGGAATCCTGAAGCATGATATGAATGTCACTGTTGGTCTCTGGAGCAGGTTTTTGATAATTGTACCAAATGGTACACAATTTTGGTAATGGCATAAATTACAGAGCTAAAATCCTTAAATTAGATTTGATCTTTACAAAAATATCTAAATGCTGCTAGATTTGGTATTGGGTGAAAGGATAGAGCTGAAATTCTGAAATTTGATACTAAGTTCACTGTTGGTGTCTAGTGTTTACACATGGAGAAGTTAAAATAGTTTTGCACAAAAAAAAAAATAGATGTGGGTCCATTGTGCAATGGCTTTACTAAAATCCTTCTCTGTAAATTTCAAAATGAAAGATTGTGAAGACTTTTTGATATAAAAGGTAAAGATTTACATTTAAACATTATTCTTTCCGGAAAAGAAAAAACTTTAACAATATATAAAACCTTTTAATAAAAAATTTAGTCAAACTGAACGAATTGTGAAGTGTTGAAACGAATCTCAACTTTTAAGTTGGATTTTTCGCTTATGAAGTAGCGAGCATTTGCTGGTCTGTTATATTATTCCTCACAAAATTTCTCAAATATCCCTCTTATTTATATTCGTTTCTAAACGATGAACGTGTCTAGTTTATTTTATTTTTATTTTTTTCTATACTCTAATTGCTATTGGTGATCCCCTCATACCACACATTTCATCTATTGTGTTTTATTTGCATCTTTTTTGTATTTCTTTTTCAATTTATATTTTTTTTTTTTATTTTTTGAATTTTGTCCCATTGACTTGATGTTCTTGCCAAAATTATTTTGTTTAATATAAAAAGGAACACTCACACACACACAAACATTAATACTTAAGAGGTGGATATCAACCATACATACATACATAAACTTAACAACCGTATAATGACAAAACAACCGGCAATACGAC